TTCTGAACAATACTTTCTCAATTCTAATAACCGCACTCCAGTAGCAGAGTGGATAAAATCATTGAACATTGGTAGTTGGTCATTGGGTTCAGGCATAGCCACGTGGAGTTTTCTGAGATTTCTTCACATTAGTAACACCTAAATAAAATCCATCTTCCCGTAAAAATCTTCCCGGAATGCATCCCCCTTGGCAGATTGCTCATGTTTCACATTGACATAAACAACTAAAGCAAACTAATTCCAACAAGCAATTATTTATTGTGACATTGTCACAATGTCGGGCTGCAACTTTTCGTCACAAAATTCTCAATTCTTTTAGTAATGGTCTTGCCCCTGTTCACCATACTTTTCCTGTTAGCAACAGAGTTGTGCCAGTTATCTAACTCTTTTGAGGAAAAAATTTTGAATTGAAGTAACATGACTTCTGGTTTAAATCAGAAGTTTGTATATATCGTATATTTCTGCAGATAAGACGATAGTTGAATCATAAGAAAAGACCCCCAAAATCCGGGGTCGTCTTATAGGATAGATACAAAAAAAAATTTGATTGAAATTTATATAAATTAAAACCATTGAAAAGGACAGACAAACCGTAATTATTTACAAGTAGAGAGTAGGGTATGTGCACAAAATAGAATAGCCCATACGACGTTTTTGTGAATAGTCAAGGTCATTATTCGAATGCCGAATCAGTGACAATGTTTGCAACGATCGCAAGGCAGTACAGCCAGATGCATAAAAATAAAATTTGTTTATTCGAAAAATGACAAATAGGACACAATTCCGTATACGCTATACAATATTATTATCCAGATGATGATCGCTGATCTAAATCAAATTCATAAGCCGTTGATGGCTTAGTGGTCGTCTTACAGCACAGATATATGCTAAAACTATAAAACTTTGTCGAAAATTTAGACCTCGTCTTATCTAAAGGCCATCTTATTTGCGGAAATATACAGTAGAATTTTTGTCACCGTTAACTATCAGATGCATATTAAAAAAACAAACATTGAATGTCCCAACATTTTATATTTAACACCCAACGTTTGTTAACTAAACGTTTTGGAAGAATAATATTACCACATCCTCCGATTTCATTTTTGTATATTCTTATATAAATATCTGTAAATATCATTTCTTTCAGTATCCACCCAGATCCATATTTCATAAACTTGTGAATATAGTTTAAAATTGTATCAAACGCATTCATTCATTTTTCATTAATCATATACGACCACAAAATATGCTCAACACAAATCGAAAAATATTTATCTTGATACTTGGTTCTATCATTTTCTTTATATTTTAAAAATTTAGTTTTTAAATTTATTAAAAATTTTTTTTCCACAAACAAAATTATCATTAGCTATAATGTTATAAATACGAGATGTTATTTTTTCAGAAAAGACACACAGATTAGCATATCCTCTAAAAGTTATTTTTCCTTAATATAATAGACATATTTTAAACATTTGCACAGTCGTCTAAATGTTCGTTTATTGCAGCAAAGGATTTTTTAAAATAAAATTTAAAGTCTTTAATATTAAAATTATCATTAGCTATAGACTAATGTTATAAATACGAGATGTAATTTTTTCAAAAAAGACACACAGATTAGCATATTCTCTAAAAGTTATTTTCCCTTAATATAATAGACATATTTCAAACATTTGCACAGTCGTCTAAATGTTCGTTTATTGCAGGAAAAGATTTTTAAAAATAAATTTTAAAGTCCTTAATATTAATATTAAGGACTTTAAATTTTATTTTAAAAAATATTAATATTAATATAATATTAATATTAAGGACTTTAAATTTTACGGCAGCTGATTACAAGAACACAAGACTACTATACAAAAGGGCTTCCATGGTTTATAACTTGCTTTAAAATGACAAGGATATGATCAAAAAGGAAGAACAATCTGGAATATACAAGATATTTTGTAGTTGCTAGTGCACCACGTGCTTTTGCTGAATAAACGCAGTGACACCAAAATCACGTGACAGCTATAGCCAATTATCGCGAGTATTCGTTTCTACTTCAAAGGCATTGGCGGTTCTACATAAAAACTAATAGGGCTTACGCCCTGGGCCCCAAGTGTAAAAGGCATACAAAAATTGAATTATTATCATAAATTTTTAATACTTTTTTATTAATAATAAGCACTTATCGGTAGAAACTTTGTCATTCAACACCATTTCATAAATAAATATATTTCAACTCTGATTTTGATGTTATTAAAAATGAATTTTAAACCACAATTTAAAGACTCTTAATCTAACAAAAAATGGAGCCCCACTGGACTTCAATAAGCCCTAGGCCTTGAAAAATTTAAATCCGCCTCTGTTCAAAGGACATCTGCCATAGTGATCTGAAAGAGGTTAGATCAAGAATTTAAATACGGTGGCAAGTTACTGCCGATCATGGGCGACGCAATCGCTGTTCCACGGGCATTTCACGCAAAATGAAAGGTGATTTGCAATAAAGTATAGGAATTTTTTAAAATGACAGCACAATTTCAACTTTAAAGTTATAAATATATATTTCTATTTTATTTTGTCTAATTTTTATCTAATATCTGCAGTTTTTGCACATTTTCAAAACTTTTACACAACCACCCGCTAAGAATGATGGGTATAAGCATGATGTCGCGTACACTTTAAATTACGGATGCTGCATACCAATTGGCTGCGGCAAAATCGCTATGCAGAAATATACGTCTTCTGATTGCTCTGACGACAAAGTACTCTACGGAGATTTTAACCGAAAGTAGACTTTACTGCGCATTGCTGCGATTAATGCGATTGAATCACTTGAAAATCGCGTTAAATGCAGAGCTAGCTTTAAACTGCATCCTATGTGGCAGCGTAAAGCGACCGCGGGCATCAATGTGCTTCCAAGCAGAGCGGACAAACTGATTCAAGCAAATGTGCTCGTCCAGAGTAACTGCGTTTAGCGTGCAGCAACCACCAGATGACGCGCGTGCAGGAAGCAGCTACCAAGCAAGTTTGATCGCTGCTTCCACTGCTCGCGCTTCCAAAGAAGAAAAAATGGCTAATTTTGTAGATAAATAAAAACAGAATGATAAATAAATTTTGTATATATGTTGTATGTACTTTAATTAATAATCTTTTACTTAATACAATAATTTCTGATTTTGTATAAATGTAACGTTTTAAAAATAAAACTTTTTTAACTTATCTATACTACATAAATAAAAATGTAATGTTCGTTTGTTCCTAATAGCTAATTTCCGAAAGTTCACCGATTGCTTTGAAATTTTCATACAACGTTCCCTTGAATACAAGCGTGTTTTTATATTATATACATGTTACTTGCAAGCGGAGCGGACAAACTGATTTAAGCAAATGTGCTCGTCCAGAGTAACTGCGTTTAGCGTGCAGCAACCACCAGATGACGCGCGTGCANAATTTAATTTATAGTACAGTATATATTAATATTAATAAGTGCCTACTATTTCAATTCACATACTTTGCACAAAGGACAAGGGCCTCGCAAAGATCTGCTGCCCAGGGCCTCGCAAAGATCTGCCGCCCAGAGCCTCGCAATGGATAAGGCCGCCGCTGGTTAGAAGTATGAAATAATCTAATAATCTTAATCTTTGTTAGTTTTATTCTTTGCCCGTGCAACGCCAGATCATCTGCTTGTAATTATATATTAAAAACTTTTATAGCAATACAGTATAAGAAATGCACAGTATTTAAATACTTGTGAACCATTGCATATTTTTATCTTACATGTAATCAATCTTAATTCATTTTAATGAGTTCATTTTCACATATTTTTTTTATATTTAATTTTTTTTTACTTTCTTTTAACACATATTTTCTTTTCAACCTAATAGATTCTATAAACAGTATATCGTATAAACCAGTGGTTCTCAACCGGGGGGTACATGTACCCCTAGGGGTACTAGCGTAAATTAAAGGGGTACATCTAACTTTTATTATAAATCGGCGTATGTTAATCAATTTGCTGTAAATTATTAACACAAGAAACAAGAAATGACAAAAACCTGCTTTAAAATATCCCAGTGTGAATACCGATTTCCCTTTTAACAGTCTAAACAACTTGTTTATCCACTTGATTTGTCTGTCTATTTGTGCCATAAGTGCTGAGTGAACCTGTAGTCTAGTAAAATTATGGTTTAACTGAGCATTAATATTTTTCAATAAGANTTAAAAATTAAAACTTTTTTTTTAACTTATCTATATAAATAAAAATGTAATGTTCATTTGTTCAAAAGCTTAAATCTCCGAAAGTTCTTCACCAATTGCTTTCGAATTTTGACACAATGTTGCATTCGAATACGCGCATGTTTTTATATTGTATAGATATCGAAATTCGCTTTCCCCACGCGGGTGGAGATGACACGATTAAGGCTTACCGCGAAGAACTCGGTTTCTATTATACTATTTCAGATGCAATTTTATGTGTTTTTGATTGCGTTTTAATAGGGTACGTCAAGAGATTTTTTGAAATCCCCCCCGCGTGGAAAGTGTTATACATTTATAATACATACATTTTAAGCCACAGCAACACGTGGCCTGGTCTGCTAGTTATTCTATAAAGATTTTTTATATTTGTTGTGTATCTAGTAAGTGATAACAATTAACTGTCAAATTTATCGTTTTAATGCTTGTCATATTTTCCATAGTAGCATTCGACGAAGTCTTTTCGCTGCCATCCTGTAAACAACATGCGTCCACTCTGGACAGAAGTCGCTAGCGAGTTGGAAGCGCGTACAAAGATTCTCTCTGCCCAAGGGCGCTGGACGCTGCCACGTAGGAAGTAGCCTTAGATGAGCAAACGCTTAAATTGCTGTATTGGAATAGTGATACTAAAATCGTTGTTTACGTGTTGAGAAAAGTAAAACGTGTTAAATTTTTCAGACGTTTAACATTATATCACAAAAAATCTTTTAAACTAACAACTAACACTTTTAATCGCCTAAGCTAATGTTTGAATATCTTACCTAGAGCAGTAACAGGCTTGCACTTCCCAACAGGTAAGTCTCTGGATTCTAACAACGGTATCCATCCATTTGGATAAACGGGAGGAAATTCATTGGCTCTTCTTAACCTATTTGTTTCTTTTAATAACTGCATTCGTTTTCTGCGTAATTTCTTCGCATTCGTTCTTCCATCATCATAACCGATATCCGTCATGTCCTGCATCGACAAACATTACTGTTGAAATGTAAATAATATTAAAATTTAAACTACTGCCTATGTTTTACTTACAACAACTCTATTATAAGTTGTTAACGAAAAATACATGACCAGAATAATAACGAAAAATAAAATCAGTAGATATGGTTTATTTATAATCGTTGTACTGATGCATTGAAACATATCCAGAAACCAAGAATATTTCCATAATTCCTCTGTTACTCTGCCGTATATAAAGAAGAACATATTTGCTTGAATTATAATCTTGGATATGTCTGAAACGAAAAATTCAATTACATTATTTAATAATTTATTAACTTCGATTAATTTAACACTCATAAACTGTTAATATAATTGATTAACTTAATAGGTTAGCATTGATAAGGTTTGGCTTCACTGTTTCAATAGTAACGATTACTTCCCAGTGAACGTTTGTTACGTCATATTAATAATTACGTCATTATAATTATTAGTGGTCAGATAAATATTAGTTCATAGAATTAACAGATATAAATGAAAGTTAATAATTGTCAGTTTAACGAATAGTAAAGAAATATTTAGAGAACAGAGGCATGTATTATGACATGTATATTAAATATAAAACTGTTATAATAAATTTCTAATACACAGGTTGTATTGTGTATTAAAATTCTATTATAACTGTGGAAACCGGAACTACGGCNTAATTATAAAATTTTCATACAAAAATATAAGGGATACTTGAGAAACAACTAATGGGCTAATGGGGTACATCAACAAATAAGGTTGAGAACCACTGGTATAAACAATAGTTGCATACGAAGTTCAATCGGACAAAAAAAAATATTTTTATATCTGACATGTAATCGATTGATTTTTGAGTACATTACAGTTTTATTAATTGCAACACCATTTAACCATTTAGGATTTATCCCATTACAATGAAATTTACACCACATATTCTTCATATAACTGCACATTGGTAATCAATTAAAATTTCACGTTAATACAACAATTATTCACAGATGAAATGTGTATGTTGTAAATTGCCACGTGTTGAGGTGTTTGTTGTCACATATTTTCGATTATTGCCGAATGTTCCATGCACACGGACCATTTTGGTCTCCTGATTCCAAACACGCATGTTTGTCGTGGCGTTTTGCCCTATTGGAAAGGCATTGTCACAGTTTGAAAATCCGCCTTCGTACAGTTCAGTTATGAGTCCCTGCTCAAACTCTTTTAACCGCTTTATCTCCGATCAATTTTTAATTTTAATGTAATTAAACATAAAAAATACTCAAAACTGAAAAAAACGAAGGAAATGCGTTAATTTTGAAGAGAAAGCTTCAAATTTTATTTTCCATTGTCTTGCCTTTCTGCGAAATCTGACCCTGATGAGTAATTGTGTTTACAGCTGGATGACCTTGAGAACATCTGGTATCATATTTCGCTGGACATTCTCATAAAATTTCGGAGAGGATAAGGGTTTAAAGTAGGGTGAATACTAGCTGGCCATATATTTTAAAATATTTTTAAAAAATTACGTTTTTTATTGCAAATTTCGACCCCCCGTCTTAATTAAACGTATATATAATAAAATATATTAATTAAAAAAATTAAAAATCTATTGGAGGTCATTTTTGATATCAGAAAGTAACATTAAATAACTTTACCGAAGTAAAATCTGTACACTAGAACTTTAGAATGATGAATGAAAGTTGATATAAAAATCCCATAAAAAACAATTAAGCATTAATCGTGCATCATTAAAGGTAGATTAAAATCGCGATAAAATTTTTTCGCGCAGGAAAAAATTTTTGCAAAAACTTTGGAGACTTAAAAAACATCCAAAAATTTTAAAAAAATTTTTGGAGGGTCCAGACGACCAAGTTTTATGCAACGCTATGTAAACTTGACGAGTTCACTCGTCAATGGGGATGAAGTATCACAACTTTCGTCATCGAGGAGCGAGTCCTGGAAAAACTGCCACAGCTCGCTATCCGCATTGCAGTCCTTGTGCACCTCTTAAGCTCTGTGTGAGGAACCGGGTTCGATAAGACTAAATTTTTTAACATTTATCGACAATAAGTTCGCAAGACCTACACAATGTTAAAGGACTTAGATTCTTGGATAAAGGATTTTTTATATAAATAATTCGAAACAAGACCAATTTTTAAGAAAACAAAACAAAAATTTAATGAAAAGTAAAATGAATACAAATCCCTAATTATAATCTAAATAATACTACTTACTTAAAAGTTCTTATTTTAGAGAGAAAGTTTACAATCTATATATATATATAAATGAATGTGTGTGTGTGTCTGTCTGTGTGTCTGTCTGTATGTCTGTCTGTCCTTTATGCATTATCACACCGTTTATCCGATTGCCGTGAAACTTTGGGAAGTTGTTTAATATACTCCGGCGAAGGTTTGTGGCATAGTACGATTGCCATGAAGCTTTGGGAACTTTTTTAATACACTCCCGCGAAGTTTTCTGGCATTTACCCTACGATATATGGCGCGCGTTTACACGAGCATACGCGCACAGTGTGTTCGATCGATTTCAAATAGCGAAGACCATTTCCTCTCCTTCAAAAAATATCTCTATATATGCATTTGTGAACTGTTATCTACGATATTTGTAATAATTTTTGTTTAATCACTTTATTTCATTTTTTTTGCTAATTACGTATTCGCTGGAACTTTGTTAAAATCTTAACTGTATCCCGAACAACAACCGAAGTTGTAGGAGGAAATTCGCCTATTTTACCGATCTAAGGATCCCCTTTTCCAAATTTTAATATCAACTCAAAATAATTTAAAAAGACAAATTACGATAAAACAGATTATTATCCAACTCTCAGAAATTTCACAACGTGCCAAGGAAGAGAGGAAGGAGCAATTAAATAATTAAAATTATAAAGGATTAAAA